GTTGTTCATCTTGAAGGGTTTTTAACTGAGGTATTTCAAAGTCTCACCAGCTCCACACCAGGCTTGCATTCTGCCTGGATTCTGTCCTGTTTCCCCCCCCAGAAAGCAGCACCACAAAAACCTGGAATACTGAGCTGATCACATTCATGGCTCTGTGCTGCCACTGTCTCCATCCTTGTCTTGATGCTCCTCTCCTGGGGCTCTGTCCTGGCTGGCAGAGTAGGGAGCTGCTAAAAGGAGAGTGGGAGTGCAGTGACATCAAGCAAAAACTGCTCTGAGTGGGTCAAAAAAAAAATACAAGGTGTTGGAAAAATGAGCTTTTGGGTGTTGTGTGAAAGCAAAGCATGATGAGGTTCCTCTGGATTTTGCTCTCAGTGCTGGTAGCTGCCCCTCCAGCATCCTGCTCATCACCAGAGGGCTCTGCTGCTGCTCCACCTGCCCTGCAAAGCCTCTGGGAGAGGTGGCTGTGTCTGCTATTGCTTATTTTTAACATTGAACTTGATAAAAAAATGGCAAAACCAACATTTTAGTGACACATGGTGCTGCTGGGAGAGGTTCTAACCTGCACCTTTGCACAGGCATTGCCTGAGCTCTGGCTGCTGCAGGAAGAGCACAAACACAGGAGATTTAAATCTGGGCCCTGCTCAGTGTAAGGGTTCACAGCAGGATGGATTTCTGTGCTCTGCAAAAATCTAGTGGAGGAAAAAAGGAAAAGGACTCCTCCAAAGCTCTTCCCTTTCCCTCTCCTCTGGTTTCCTGAGATCTGGCAAAAAAAAACCAAAAACCATTGAGGTTGGATTTGGCCATCCTAAAAGTGTTTCACAACCTCAAAGATTCTGTGACTGCTGTGGAATAAAGTTGTTTTAAACTCTGCAGGGTGGTTGGTACTGAGGCTTTAACTCTTTATTATTAAAACTCTGCAGAGTGGTTGGTACTGAGGTTTTAACTCTTTATTATTAAAACTCTGCAGAGTGGTTGGTACTGAGGCTTTCTGCAGGATGAGGCTGTGCTGTCCTGGCTTTCTTTGCCCTTCATGTTTTTTTCCCAACCCCACGTGCTCAGGGTGGTGTGACACAGGGATTTTACTTTCCTTATGGAGCATCTGTCCCAGAGACAAGGGGGGTTTTCCCTGCCCTCAGTGAACTGATGAAATCCCTTCCTTCAGCACAGCACTTTTCCTCTCATCTTTTTAGGCTGGAGTAGTTTCTGCAGGGCAAGCACAGAGGGTGGGCAAGAAAAGCACCAAGGTCTTGGATTTTGATGGCAACGAGCCATGGGGGCTTTGGCCCCTTCTGCACCAGCATTTGGGGTCACTGTGGGCATTTCTGCTGCAGTTATTTAATCACATTTGCAACAAGGATGCTCCACAAGGGCCCCTGGGAAGGAGGATGGAATTTCTATCAAGTTCAAAGCCAGGGGGAGTGTGAGGACTTTTGTAAAATCTCAGTTGACACAAATTGCTACGAGACTCATTTAACGCTCGAAAAGCAACTTATGCTCAGATCTGAATGTCAGCCTCAAAGTGCTTCTCATTTCCTCATCTTTAATCATGTTAAAGCCTCAAGCCTTAGCAGGGTTTTGCTCATCTACAGCCTCAGCATGAGAAGCTGGGTGAAGATTTTTGGGGTGGACTTGCAGCTCTCCTGCTGCTGCCAGGGCAGGAGGGGCCTGGGTGAGCTGCAGTTTTCCAGGAGGAGGAGGAGGAAGCTCCAAAGGCAGCAGTTTTGCTTTGGTGCTTTATAGAAAGAACAAAAGGAGGATAAAGAGAGCAAGCCCAGACCTGCTGGTACACATGAGGGTTCATGTGAGCAGCAGGGGTGGTGCTCCTCATCCACTGGTTTTCCTTTCTTTGCCATCAAACTTGAGGTGCTGAAGTTCTCAGCCTTCCTCTGATGGAGTTTTCCCCCAGTGCTGGGGCAGAGTTATCTTTGGGAAGGGGGAGATGGTGATGCTGCCAAGGAAGGTCTGGAATGAACCAAACCCCCAAAAGGGCAGGAGGAGAAGGAGGAGGAGGAGGAGGAGGAGGAGGAGGGGGACTTTTCGTCCCTGCTCTCAGAAGTCCTGGGATGATATTGCTCAAGTCTGGCAGGTCACAGAGGAGATTGCCATTGCCTGATTTTGCTGTGATGCCCTTTTTTTATTGTGAGGAGAGTCAGAGGTGACTCAGCCCCTGGAATTCAGGGCTGGAGCTGCAGTGGCACCTCAGGGAAGTGCCATGAGGGGCTCCACAAAGGCTCCTCAAAGCCTGATCCCCAGCTCTGAGCAGGAAAGGAGGTGATGCTGTCACAGCTCCCCAGGCTGGGAGGTTGCACAGGCAGAGATGGTGGCTGGATTTAGCGCTTTGGGATGGTGCCAGGCACGGCCCCCGTGGCAGATCTGCAGCCCAAACATTGCACACTGTGGGTGCTGCCAGTCCCACACACATCAGGCCACAGGAATCACAAGGCAGGGAAATGTGGCTGTGGGTTGTTCTGCTCTGGGAAGGGAAGTGCCTCTCTCACGCCATGGAGCTCCTTGCCCTCTAGATTGGTTTCCTCCAATTAATTTACCATCAGGAAGAGAGCAGCAGCTTTCTGTTTATTATTTTCCATTGCTGCTTTAAAGTTATTCAGTAATCCAAATGACTGCTTTAAAGGTATTTCACTTTTGGAGATCAGTCATCTATTGCAGTGGGGTGTTTTTCCACAGCCCTGTACCAGCTGCAGTGAGGAACATCAACCTCCCCCAAGCAGACCCAGCCACTGTCAGGTATCATGTGGCTCCTGCCATTGGAAAAATGCTGGGAATTCTAAAATGGGGAAAGCAACTCGTGTCTGGCTGCAGTGAAGGGCAAGTTGAGAGCACATCCCCCAGAAATGGGGTGGTCTCATGGCTGATCCACCCCCCTGGCTCCTGCATCTCCCACCCCCTGGCTTTGCAGTTTGGGGCTTTAAATCATCCACGGCACCAAGGAGGGTTTTGTTTTACATTGAGGATTCTCTAAAGCAAACAAGATACTTGGGAGCACTTAAAAAAATTCAAACCCACGGAATATATTGATTTTTGAGGCGTGAATAATCCTTTACCCTCTTTGGAAGAGCCAGGGTTGCATGGCCGGGCATCACAAGGCTGTGAGTGAGGAGATCTGTGTCTTACATCTCCCTCAAAGCCAGGCTGTTCCAGCCCTGCTCTGCTGGCTCCTGGCAATAAACCAACCTTCCACTTTCCTGCATCCCAGGAGGCAGAACACACCAACCTTCCACTTCCCTGCATCCCAGGAGGCAGAACACACCAACCTTCCACTTCCCTGCATCCCAGGAGGCAGAACTGTGAAGCTCAGTGGCCACACCTGGGTGTCCTGTGAGTCACCATGGGATGAGTCAGATGAGGAGCATCCTCTGTGTGCAAAGGGCTCCAGCACCCACCCCGTGGATGCTGAATCATGGAATTGTGGAATGGTTTGGGCTGGAAGGGACCTCAAAGGCCATTTTGTTCCGTGGGCAGGGACACCTTCCACCAGATCACGCTGCTCCAAGCCCCACCCAGCCTCACTCACCATCCTTGCTGCAGCTTGGGTTATTTAAATTAAGGAATTAATTAGATCTGGGTTTGATTTCTGTATCCACCGACTTTTGGTCAAATATTTTTCTTTATCATCATGTGCTGGGTTGGACTCTATGGTCTTTGAGGTCTCTTCCAACCCATTCATTCTGTGAAGTCTGTGTCTTGCATAACTGGAAGTACAAACCTTAGGGCATTGGAGCAGGAAAAAAAAAGCAGGCAAAGCTTTTTGGTTGATGTTTGAAGCCTTTGAGTAAAATCCTGAAAATAGCAATACACGTTTTCCATGAAAATATCTCTTCCCAAAGACATCTTGAGGGAGTCTTAGGGAGGAAGGGAAAAACCTGTGCTCTAAGGAATTCATACACCCCTGTCTGAGTTACAGGCTCAGGAAGCTGCAGCTCCTCATGCCCTGGATCAGGGATCCTTCAGCTTTACTGGCTTGAATCCTCTCCAGGTCCCTTTGCCCTAAAACACCTCCAAGGATATTGCAGTGTCTGTTTACTGGGATGGGTGCTGTGAGAGGCAGCTGAAGCAGCACTCCCTAATTAAATGCATTTCTTATTATTCTTAATATCTATTACTTAATACATATTAAGTATAATATACATATTTCCCTGAAATACTCAATTTCCAGCCATCCTCATGAGCATCCCTGGTATTTTTACACCTTCAGATTTAGTCTGAATCCCTGTGACAATATTACATGAAGCTGAAGGATGTTAAAATCCAGGCTGGAGCCCCAGTGGAGAGGAGGCTGCCCTCTTTTTAGATAGGCAGAGCTGAACCAGAGGAATTTATCCTAAAATTAATCAGAGCCAAAGTCAACAGATTTTTGCGTTTTTTTTTTTTTTTTTTTTTTTTTTTTTTTTTTTTTTTTTTTATATCAGCTGTAGCTGAGCCCTTTAGCTGAGCTGTTGCCTAAAAGCAGCAGTTTGTACCTCTGTAATGACACCAATTAGAGGTAACCTTTGGTCAGCCCTGAATTGTTCAGGGAGGTGGATTACATGGTCATTGTGGGTGTCTTCCTACTGAAATCCTCTCCTCTGTTTGATTCTAATCTAGTCCAGTCTATTCCATTCCATTCTAACTCCATTTCTTTTCCTTCCCTTTCCCTTCACACAGGATTTCAGCACAAAGCCACTTTGTTCTTTTCCATTGCTTTAAGCTGTGGAGCCCATGGAGCAAACCAGAGATGATTCACCCTCAACCTCAAATAAAATCGGGCTTGTTGGAATTCCAGCTGCCTCCAACAGCTTCCCAGAACCCATCCTCTGCGTCGGGTGAAAGCAAAGCTTTTTTGCCTTCTATTTTTTTTCGTGGGGAAAGGAGAAAATGTTCAGAATTAAAAATCCAGTTGGTGTTTTACCGAGCCGCACTGAAGCTGGGGGGATGGAGCCGTGAGCCACGCGGGCAAACATCTGGCAGGGGGAAACATCTGGCAGGTGGGCAGGGCGGGGAAAACGGGAACAAACCGCGAGAAAAACCAAATATTCTCCGTTAACATCCCCCACTGGTGATGTCACCGCTGACAGGGGGAAATACTCGGCTCTCGGGGGCTGTCACGGGTGTCCCCGGCGCTGGCACCGCCCCGGCCCCGGCCCCGGCCCCGTCCCCGCCCCGGGCGGGTCCCGCCGCGTCCCGCAGCCGGAGCGCGGAGCCGCCGCACGCAGGTGAGGGGATGAGGGATCCCGGGGGGAACAGGGGGATAAGGCACAAAAATCCTTGGGAAAGAAGGGATTGGGGCGCCCTGGGAGAGCGCGGTGGGACAGGCGTGAGCTGCCGCGGGCTCTGCGGCTCGGGGAGCACGGGGAGCCCCGGCTGGCCTTAGGGGGGATGGACGGGGGGGGGCGGGGGGGCAGCTCGGGGGGTGTTTGCAGCTCCTGGGGGCTGGACAGCCCTCAAAGCTCTCACTGACTTTAGGGGTGATGGAGGGGTGGTGGCTGCGGGGCAGCTCCGGGGGTGTTTGCAGCTCCTGGGGGGCTGGACAGCCCTGAAAACCTTCACTGATTTTACGGATGATGGAGGGATGGTGACTGTGGGGGAGCTCCAGGGGTGTTTGCAGTTCCTGGGGGCTGGACAGCCCTCAAAGCTCTCACTGATTTTAGGGGTGATGGAGGGGTGGTGACTGCGGGGCAGTTCCAGGGGTGTTTGCAGCTCCTGGGGGCTGGACAGCCCTGCCCGTGCCCCAAAATCCTTGCAGGGTGAGGAAAGAAGCCCTTATTGTAATAAGTTGACATTGGAATACAGAAGATACTGACTGGACTTTGTAAGAAATGCTTTTATTTTTCTATCCTTTCTATTCTATTTTTATTTTTCTATTCTTTCTATTTTTCTGTTCTATTTCTATAAAAATAATTTTATTTTTCTATTCTGCCAGTTATGTGTAGGAGTGAATAGGTTTATTTGAATCCTGCAGGAATAGCACCAAAGGGGAGAGAACTGGTATTTCTTTCCCAAATAGTAGTTTTTTTCCACTTGATGTGAACATAGGGAATGTTTGGGGTCAGCTCTGGGATGTTTCCTGCAGCTGATCCTCTGCTGGGGCAGGGAGAGCTCAGGTGAGCTCGAGCTCAGCTGCCCAAATGCTGCTGGAAATCAGAGCTCAAGCCCTCGATGAGGAGTGGATGAAGGAGCTGGGGAAGCTCAGCCTGGAGAAAAGGAGGCGCAGGGGGGACCTTCTCACTCTCCACAACTCCCTGCCAGGAGGGTGGGGATGGGCAGGATTCATGCTCTGCTCCCCGGGAACAACAGACAGGATATAGGGAAATGGCCCCACGTTGCACTAGAGGAGGTTTAACTGAATATTAGGGAAAATTCCTTCGTGGAAAGGTTTGTCCAGCCCTGGTAGAGCCCCCATCCCTGGAGGGATTTAAAAACCGCGTGGATGTGGCACCTGGGGACACAATGCTGCAGGAATGGTTGGATTGGATGGGCTTAGAGGGCTTTTCCAGCCCCACTGGTGCTGTGATTCTCTGCAATCCATCACTGGGTGCTGCTGAAGAAGGTGGGGCAGCAGCAGATAACCCAGAGGGCATTTCCAGAGAGCTGCAGGAGCTGCAGCACTGCCGTGGCACAGAGGAGGTGACACTGGCTCCAAGCCTGGTGGCAGGGCATTAGTGGTGCCAGGGGATTCCTAGGTTTTGGGGGTTTTGGGTACAGCCTCCAAACTGCCCAGACATGTCCCCAGACACGAGGGGGACACGAGGCTCAGGCCAGCCTGTCCCCTGGGGGCCTGAGGGAGCAAAGCTGCAGCTGCCAGGGTGTGCCAGGGGCATCGTGCAGGACAGGGAGCAGCACAAGGCTCTGCACCCCTGAACTGGCTGTGTGTGCTCCCCTGGTTTGGCTGTGTGTGCTCCCCTGGTTTGGCTGTGTGTGCTCCCCTGGTTTGGCTGTGTGTGTGGCTGTGTGTGCACCCCTGACCTGGCTGTGTGTGCTCCCCTGAACTGGCTGTGTGTGCCCCCCTGGTTTGGCTGTGTGTGCTCCCCTGACCTGGCTGTGTGTGCCCCCCTGGTCTGGCTGTGTGTGCACCCCTTCTTTGGCTGTGTGTGCTCCCCTGGTTTGGCTGTGTGTGCTCCCCTGAACTGGCTGTGTGTGCTCCCCTGGTTTGGCTGTGTGTGCTCCCCTGGTTTGGCTGTGTGTGCACCCCTGACCTGGCTGTGTGTGCACCCCTGGTTTGGCTCTTTTTGCACCCCTGGCTTCACCTCTCAAACCACAGCAAACCCGAGGGCTTTAGGAAGAGTCCAGAAGGCAAATGAAGTTTTGGGGGATATGGGCTTCTCAAACACTCCGGGCCACTGGATTTCTGCCTTAAAAACCCCGTTTTTAAGGGCTCAGGAGAACGAGTGTTTTGCAGGGAGAGGATGATTTGCTAGCTGTGAAACTGGGGGGTTTGTTATTCCCGGGGCAGGGCAGCCACACCTCCTCCTTTGTGCATCTGAATGTTTCTTTCAGAAACAATTCACCTTCTCCGCTTTAAATGTGGAATTTTTCTTTCCTCATTTCTGGCTCTCCCTTTCCCCTTCTCTTATGAATGCTCCCTTTGATGGGAGGAACCCAGCTGGGGCTATTCCTGTGCACAGGCAGGTGTGTGTTCGCCGTGTGTTTGTGGACTCACAAAACTTGCAAAGCAGCTTTTATCTGTGTCCCTCCCACGGTGCCCTCCGGCCGGAATGGGACAGCTCTGGATTCACGGGACAAAAAGGGACATGGATGGGTGGCTGCCACCCTCCTCTGCCCATCCCAGGCCATCCCGTGTGTCCCCAGTTTGCAGCTCCCGCACAGCTCCCGGCTGATGCTGCCCCTCCATCCCCCGGGGATCCCCTCTGGGGTTTTTGTATGGAAATGGAAATCCTGGATGGCTCCTCAGGGCCGGGGAAGTGAATAACGCTGGGAGTGCTGTAAGCTCGGTGGTGGATTTCATCCCGAGGGTAGCCGGGCTGGATTCACCCCGGGACATTCAGGCTGCCTCCCGTTTATCCCGCAGGTTTTGGACCAGGATTTGCTCTTTGGCACCGGAGCTGTCAGCTCTGCTGGGCAGGTACGTGATGGCAACTCGGCAATTCCCATCAAGTGCCACTCTAAACTGTAAATCCCCTCAAAAATTCTCTGCTTTTGGATGGGGCAGGTTAAGAATGACTGACACTTCCTTGTTTGTTTGTTTTGTTTGTTTTTAGGAAAAATGTCAGACGGTTTCTCTGTAAGTATGGATTTCTCTAAAAACCGTGGGGGCTGTGGCTGTGGCCTTGTAGCAGAGACCTTTGGCTGGGGTGGGAGGGAACACGTCCTTGCTAAGCTGCTCGGTCCCCAAACCCTCTCCAGTTCTGTCAGCAGTTTTCTGGAAAAGCCCAGGGAGCAGCAGAGGGCTGAGCTCTGCCCTTGGCCACGCTGCAGGCCACCAAAATGGACTTTGTGCAGAGGAGGCAACGAGGCTGGTGAGGGGCTGGGAACACAAACCCTGTGAGGAGTATTTGAAGGAGCTGGGGTTGTTTGGCCTGGAGAAGAGGAGGCTCAGAGGTGACCTTATTGCTCTCTACACCTTCCTGAAGGGAGGCTGTACAGAGGTGGGGTCGGTCTCTTCCACCAGGCAGCACTGACAGAACCAGAGGACACAGTCTCAGCTACGTCAGGGGAGGTATAGGTTGGATGTTAGGAAAAAATATTTCACCGAAAGAATAATAAAGTACTGGAATGCT